AGCGGGAACCGGTCTGTATGTGGGATCTGAACCCTCGGGCGGGAGAGCTGCCGCGCTTCCCAAGCAGCGCACTTATCCAGTGCGCCACCGGGCCGGCCCTGTGGGATCAATTTCTATGTACAAAATTGCTGGGTCATGTTTTGTCTAATTTTGAGAAATACGGTTCTCCATCAAAGGTGGACAAGTTTACATTGCTGCCATCTAGGGGTGAAAGTATGTGCTTAGGGTGAAACTTTCTGATCTTTGTTAGTGTCAGGTGAAAACTGGTTATCTCCATATATTTAAAAAAACTTATATGCATACATATTTTTATTGAGAAAAAGTTCTCATAACGTTAAATTCACCATTTTAATCACTCTAAAGTGTAATGTGGCTTTTAGTACACTCACAGTGTTGTACAACCATAGCCACTATGTAATTCTAGGACATTTTCATCACCTCAAACAAAACCCCCTACCCACTAAGCAGTCACTTCCCATTTCCCCCTGTTCTGGCAAACACTAATATGCTTTCTGTCTCTAGGCACTCGCCTATTCTGTATATTTCATATGAGAAATTATACAAAATGTGGCCTTTTGTGCCTGACTTCTTTCACTCAGCGTATCAGTACTTCATGGCTTATGAAGTGTAAATAACATCACATTGTAGGATAGACCACATTTTGCTCGTCAGTTCGTCAATTGATGAACACTTGGGTCGTTTTCACCTTTTGTGTATTATGGATAATGCTGCCAGAAATTTCTTGTGCAAGTTTTTGTTTAGGCACATGTTTTTATTTCTCTTGGGCATATACCCAGTGGTGGAACTGCTGGGTCGTTCTGGTAATTCTGTATATAACTTTTCGAGGTAGCGCCAGACTGTTTTCCACAGTGTCAGTACCATTTGACATTCCCATCAGTAACGTATGAGGGTTCCAAAGTCTCCACATTCTTGCCAACATTTTTATTTTGCTTTTTTGAAAAAACATTATTTCTGCTTGTGTGCGTAAAGAGGTATCTTATGGTGGTTTAGATTTGCAATAAAGTAATAACTAATGATGTTGAGCATATTTTCACAGGCTTATTAGTCATCTGCTCTGGAGAAGTTTTGATTCAAGTTCTTGACCCATTTTTTAATTGGATTGTTTGTACTTTGAGTTGTAAGAGTTCTTCATGTATGCCAGATATAATTCCCTTACTGATCGATGACTTGCAAATATCTTCTCCCATTCTGTGGGTGGTCTTTCAGTTTCTTGATAATGTCAATTGATGAAGAAAAGTTTTAATTTAGATAAAGTCAAACTTATTATTACTATTATTATCAGATTGAGGTCCCACAGGAAGAAGGCAGCAAGGGCAGCAGCGGGCCTGGGGGATGCAGACACTGTCACAGGTTAATCTCTCAGGCGAGTGACGTGGGAGTCTCACCGTCCACCATCCCCCTGGGCACCTCCCCCGTGACGGCCCCAGCATCGCTCCATTCGGCATGGCCAAAGTCGAGCTGCCTGCTTTGCTCCCCGAGTCCACTTCTGTTGAGATGTCCATCCCGCTGATGACATGGCAGCCCCATCTCTAAAGCCAGAACAAGAAAGCTTCTGTTTTCCTGGTGACATAAATCACTCACTCTTGTCTCTCCTTCCTCTTAAGCACAGCTCATCTTGGTATCCTTGTCTCCATCCTGACCCTGGTCATTCCTACAGCC